GGGGGCACACATCCTCTCAGCCCCTGGTCACCGCCCAACATTCCCTCCAGGAGCAGCTAGGGGCTGTGAGGTGCTCTCTCTGGCAAGGCTATCTGAAAGGTACCATTTAGAAATCTCCAAGGGTTGCTGGTAAATGCAGCCCCTCATGTCCCAAAGTGCACTGCTGTACAGAGCCAGATTGGTGCTGGCAGACTTCTAGCTCAAAGGGTGCCTACGCCAAACTGAGCAGCTGGAATAGAAATGCCAACATGAGGGCCCAGAGGACTCCAGCTTGTGGGGAGGAGGAGGTTTCCTTTGGTAGTTTTTATAAATTAAGCTCTTTTTCCTTTCTTTCTAAAAATAGACAGCCACCTTGGGGTTTACAGAAACCCAGGTTCCCAGCTGGGAAAAATCAAGTTTAGGTGTGAACACCAACAACTCTGATTTCTAATTCTGGCTTTGCTATTCATTCCCACTGCCTGCCCCCTCCTCCCCCCCCTTTCTCTGTGGCTCTGGCTTTCCCACAGCGAGCAACATGGGCTTCCCAAATTGTATTCGTGGGGCATGTCTGCGCCTGACTCACCTACAGGCCCAGCCGCACACCGAGAGGATGCAGGCAGTGACGTGGACCTGGATGTCGGAGCCCAGCTTGGTTGTCATTTTCTTCTCACCAGCTCGGTGGTCAAGCTCTTCTTCGAGCAGCTGTAGGAGAAGACTGATCTTGTCTTCTGTGAAGCACTGAAAAGGAGTCAAGGTCAGAATCATACAGGTCCAACTCAGGAAAGAAGTTATAGCTAGAGATGCAGCTGGAAGGTCCAGGGTGAGCATCACGGAGAAAGAACCAACACGGGACCGGAGTCCACCAGGGAAGACCCGCTTGGGGAGCGTGGGCTAAGCTAGGACCAGGGAGAGGAGGCAGGGTTCCTGGAATAGTAAGTTTTCTTCATAGCAGGAAACTTTTCCAAATGACCAAAGGCAGATTTTCTCTGCCAGTTGGACACTTCAAATCCAAATGAGAAAGGCGGAACACTCAAGTCCTGGCCCGACATGGAATTTAGAACAGGGCATTCGCTCAGTCTTAATAACTGCGCTTTTGAGAATGAGACACCTAACACAGTGAAGAACTCAAAACAGCCTCGGGGAAGGGCAGGGTGACATTTGTAATGAGCATCAGAGCTTAAAGGTTTGGTGCTAAAGCTGCGAAAATGGTAAGGGGACCAGATTTTAACATTGGTAAAGCGGGACACCATTGATGAAACTCATATCCTGGCGAAATAGCCACATGGCAGCCGAAAACCGTATGCCCTAGATTGTCGTGCATTCTTTCCAAAAATCGGAGCTTTTTTAAAACGCCGCGGGACGCAGGAAAAATTGTTAAAAATTGGGGCTGTCCCGCCAAAAGCGGGACGTCTGGTCACCTTAGATAATGGCCTGTCAATCTGGGGAACCAATTAGCTGCTCGTTCTGGTAGGAACCACAGGCTCAAGTTCAAAGTACAGTCAAGTGGAGTGTTTCCAGTGACCCACGGACGAGAAAGGAAGGACTCCCTAAGTTGTCCCGTAGCATTTGGAGAAAGGAACGTAACAAGTCCCATGTTGTCACAGCTTAGCACCAACTGGGAAACAGCTTTAGCTCATGGAGATGAAAATGAGTTTAGGCCACTCAAGAGAACCACACCTCCAAGGGAGCTGGCTCAGCAGTTTCTTCTCTGGTGGAGATGAAAAAAAAGGACAGGCGGAAAAGTCCCGCCGTGTCCCCCCTGGCACCAGCCAAGACACACTCACCATGGTTTTCAAGTCCTCTGGCCTCAGGGAAGGGAGCTGGAGGTCCAGGTGACAGAGGCCCTGGAAACGATCCACAACCTCACAGAGGAGAACATCAGGCTCGTCCAAAGGCAGCATCCCAAACCGATCTACAGACAAACCCGAGGGGTTTTCTTTAATCATTTTATTGGGAGCCCTTAGTTCAACAATCCATAATTCAATTAGATCAAGCATAATTGTACAAATGCTGCCACCACCATTTTCGAAAGATTTCCTTCTTGAACTCTTGATATCAATTCCCCTTATCCCGCCCCCAGGAACCCTTATTATATTATCATTTGCCATATCTTATACCATCCAATGTATCCACGTACAATTCTGTTGTTTGTTCCCCTCAAGTGGGGTTGTACAGTCATCATTGCTACCAGCTCCCCCTGCCCCCCACAAATGGGATTTTTTCAGGGTGCAAATTGGAACAAATAAAGAAAAACATCTATAGAACATCTGGGGGGAAACCATCAAGGAGACAGTAGATGGTATCAAGAAACTGTTTTTTAGAACTGTATGATATGCAAATTCTGTATCAGAAAACCATGACAGAAGAAAAAAAAGAAACCAAACTTGACAATAGGTGAAGGGGGAGGAATTGCTGCTTAGGGGGCACGGAGCTTATGTCACTGGTGGTAGGATAACGTGGACAAGGCTATCAGTGTTGGTTGTACAGCATGAAGAGTGTAATCAAGGGCACTGAATTATACAGGTAGAGGTTGTGGAATTGGAGAATGTTCTGGTGGGTATATTTTTTCACCACAATCAGTAAAAAAAAATACAAATAACAATGACTACAAGGAAGAAGAAAATGTTCTAGATTTGAATATGGTGGCAATTGTACAACTCTGGAATTGTATGACATGTGGATGAAATGCTAATAAGCTGTTAAGTGGTGCTGTGGCTTAAGCACTGGGCTTCCAAGCACAAAGAATGTGGGTCAAACCCACCTTGAGACAAAGATGAGACTGTCTGCTCCCACGAAGAATGACAGTCTCAGAAACCCAATGGAGGGTTGCTAAGAGTCAGAATCAACCTGATGGCAGTAGGTTTAATTTGGTTGGTAATGACTACAGGTGGTCCCCAACTTAGGACATATTTGAATTACTAGGAACTGTACCTGTCATTGTCCATTTGTTTGTTTGTATTGGGGGTGGGGGTTAACCAAAGAGTACTGCTACACATAGCAAAATATTCTTTCTCAACAGATCTCCCACCTAGGTCAACAGACTTCTCTAATGTCACAACGACAGTTTGGCATCCTCACCGGGCAAAAAAGTCAGCTTAATGAGCAAGACCAAGGCTATCGGAGGCAGGGGTACGGTTTCCCGACAGAACTATCATAGGAAGCTCCTGCTATCAAGAATGAGCAGTTCCATTCCTGTGATGGGAAAAGTCCTTGGTGAACTTTTCTGGCCTGTTTCTTCCTAATGTAACTAATTTTCAATGTTCTTACAAACATCCTTAGATTAAGCCCCCAAGAATACCCCATGTCTTTCAAGAGAGTCTATCAAGATTACCTTTTTAAAATATCAAAACCAAAACAAAAAGTCACCACAGTGCATAAGCAAATGTGAAGAAAGTTGATGGTACCCAGCTATTAAAAGATAAGTGTCTGGGGTTCTTAGAGGCGTATAGTTAAATAAGCAGCCTTCTAGTAGGCAAGCAACAAAGCCTGCATGGAAGAAGCATACCAGTCTGTGATCATGAGACATCAACAGGAATAGGTATCAGTTCTAAAACAAGCAACCAAACTGATGTGAAAGGGTGTGGATGTAGCGGAGACCTAAAACCCATCTGCAAGATAGTTGGGCAGTCCTTCTCAGAAGGGATGACAAATTCAGGGTGTGGTATATAGAACTGATAAAACACGTAGCTATCCTCCAGTTCTTTAATAATTCATTACCAAACTATTACAGTTTTTGTTTTACCTCATTTATTATGTTAGACTTGCATATGTTCATTTGCATAATTGTCAATGGATACATGGAAGCCAAGGTAACTCTTCAGAAACAGTAATAGAAATAATGGTTCCAAAAAAAAATAATGGTTCCCTGAGGGAACTGGAAGAGTGGGGTGGGGGAGCTGATAGTATTGTTGACTGTATAACCCTACTCAGGGGGGTGAAGAACAGAATTTTATGTGAGCAGATAAGTGAAAAATCAGGGTTCCTGGAGGTGGGGGTGGTGGAGGGAGAGGATAAAGGGGAACTGGTATCAAGGAGTTGAACAAAGAAAGAAAATGTTTTGAAACTGACTGTATTAGCAATTGTGCAATACTGCTTTTTGTGTGTGTGCGCAATACTGCTTGATGTGATTGAACTATGAAATGATATGCTATCTATAAGAGCTCCCCCTAAAATGATTTTTGTAAAAAGTCCTTCTAAACTGTCCTTAAAAGTCCTTCTAAACTGACCATGACCTTCTAAACTGAGAGCTGCTTGGAATTTAACTGGTCCAGCAGAGCCTTCCAGGAGCCACTGTCTGTATATTACTGAGAGAGCTTGCCTGCAGCTGTCCATGGACCACAGACATGTTGAACTTAGTTTGGAACGAAAACCCTATAACAATACTTTTGCCTTACCCTCATATAATGCGTGAATTAACTGGAAAGCAGGAAGTGACAATGTTGAAACTAGCTTACGTTTATATGGAATGCTGCCAACTCCCAAAGACAAATAAAGATACTGATTATGAAAGGCAGTAATAAAAAAACTTTTAATTTAAAAAGTGGTATACAACTTATATCAGAACCAACTTAGGATGGAGCTGGTGGAGCAGATCCCATCAGAAGCGAGCGACTACCTACAAATGATAGAAACAAATGAGAAAAACATGCACCCAGCACCTGAAACGGAAAACTGGAATCGGTGACAAAAGTTTACAATCACTAGCAAGTTACAGATCACTTAACTCTTTCGTTTAAAGGTCTGAACAGAAAGAGTTTATTCAAAGAGGATACTTTGGAAGAGAAGTCCAAAGGGCCATAAGCTAGTCTAAAGGCTCAGATAACTTATTATGACCTATAAATGAAAAAACAGCACATTTCTAAGCGTTATACAAAAGAAAGAAAACGACTTGTACTACGGGGTTGTGTTAGACTGGGTTGACTAGAGAAACAAATCCAGAGACACATTTTGGTACCAGGAGTGGGGTCCTAGAGAAACAAATCACAAAGATGGAGAGTGGATGCTTGTCTGGTTTGACCTCTGCTGCACAGTTTTTCTTCTTTAGCTAGCCAGAGGTCAGATATGGCCATGCAGTATACTGGGATGTTTTTGGAAAGAATTTGGGAAGCTAAACTTTTGATCATTTTCTTTGGTCGTTGTCTTTGGTTATTTCTATTTGAAATGACGAAAATGAATGTTGTTCATTTATATTTTGAGCTCAGGAGTATAAATCGCCCCTTTAATTTCTCAGAGACAATGCTGCTTACTGAAAATGACTGACAGGCTACCCCTCCCCCCAGAAGAATTTATTTCAGAGGACAGCACTGAAGCGACAGCTCAGGGAGAGGGACAGGTCTGATCAGAGCACACAGGAGCAAAGGAAGGGGGAGGAAGAGAGAGTGGAGCACATCCTGGCCCACCAAGCCTTGAGGATGATATCCCTGCTCAGAGCAGCCAATCCACAGAGAGGATCATATGGCCGGCCCCACTATGAGATACTCACTGACCCATAGTCCTACAGGGGACAACACTGAGACACACTGTGGGAAATGCGCCCAATCTGACCTCACCACACCAAGGCAAAGCACTAAGGGCGTGCAATGGAACAGCAAGCGGAGCAGAGCAAGGAAGTCCTGAGGAATACCAAAAATAGACTTTGGGGCCAGGGCATGGCATCCCATTAGACTTGACCGAAAACACTCCTGAAGGTCAACAAACAGACCTTGAACTATTCATAGGCTTTTCTTTTTTTTGACATTGTTTTTTTGCTGTTTTGTTTTCTTTTGTTGCTTTGTTTTGCTGTTTGTTTTTGTGCATATTATTATCTCTGCAAGTCTATCTAGATAAGATAAGTGGGATAAACAGTCTGGAGGAGAAAACAATGGGGCCAATGGTTCCAGGGGGACATGAGAGAGGGAGGAGGGGGGAAGGGAAGGAAGTGGGTGTTAACAAACCCAGGGACAAGGGAACAAGTGACCCAAAATCGGTGGCGAGGAGGGTGCAGGAGGCCTGGTAGGGCTTGATCAAGGGCAATGTAACCAATGAAACCCAAATGAAGGCTGAACATGACTGTGGGACAAGAGGAAAGTAAAAAGAAATAGAGGAAAGAACTAGGAAGCAAAGCGCATTTATAGAGGTCTAAATACAGGCATGTACATATGTAAATATATACATGTATATATACATGATGATGGAGAAATAGATCTACGTGCATGAGTTGTACGAACCCCCAATAAAATGATTAAAAAACACACACCAAAGAATGCAATTATTAGGTGAAACCGTAAACAAGGGCTGTCAGAAATGAGTACCTGGTGAGGGGCTATCTGGCCAGAAACAGAACTTCTCGTGAGCAGTACATAGGGCTTTCTTCAGCTCGGCACACCGTTCCTTATCTGAAACCCACACACAACACAAAGACACAGGAAAATAACTTGAAGTTAACTTTGCAAACATACGTGAAAGTATTTGCCACTCTGCCATCATCAGCTTTCTCACCCAACACGGTTTATCTTGAGCTCGCACGACCCACAGATAACATATACAAGTCTCTTATAAGGCAGGGGCGCTCCACAGTGGGAGCCTTCACCAAAGCACTCTCTTTGCCTAAAAGCACAAAGCAGGAAACCCTGTGGGTAAGCTTACTGGTGTTCCCAAGAATACAGGAAGGAACCAAGAATAACAGAACTCATTGCCACTGAGTCAACTCCAACTCAGACCCGACAGGCAGGGTAGAACTGGCCCTGAGGGCTTCCCAGGCCGCAACTCTGTAAGGGAGTGCAAAGCCCACTCTTCGTTGAGGACTGGGCAAAAGCAAGGAGAAACACACCTTGCTCTGGATAATACACACACTCTTGGATCCAACCAAGGTGACCAGTCTCTTCAGAAAAACTAGTTTTAAAGAGACGCCTGTCTCTCTGCACACAGAAGGATAAACTCGTATTTCATACTCACATCGGTTGAAGTCGAAAGCTAGTTGCAGGCTGGCGCAGAGAAAAGCCTGGCAGCTGGAGCACTTGAGCATGTCACATTCCACTGTGACCCAGCCATACTTTGCACAAACAAGGGGAGACAGCTCCAGGGGCTTACCTGCCCACTTCAAAGAGTACTCGGTTAAGAGAGACACACGACAGGCAAGCAATCAGCAGAAAGCAAAACGTGCACTCACTGTATGTATGTAGGAATAAACAGATCAATAAGAAAGCAACAATAAAGTGATAAACTACTTCTGAAGCACAATTCCATCCTTCAGTGGGTAGCAGGCAGCTGAAGAACAAGCAGAGACACAAGGGACCAGCTTTGCCTCAAGGAAGCCCAGCATATTTTCATGTTCAAAATGTTTACTACGGGTTGGAGGATGGACCCTAAAAATGGTTTTCTATCACTTACATTGAAATACTAGGGATTCAGAAGCCCCAGTGAAAACTCTGCCTTGTCATCATGGGTAAACCGGTCATCACATGGTCGGTCCCTGGCATGTTTCACCGAGGGTTGGGTAGAAACGTATTGGGAGAGTCTACCCAGGAACATCACCCTGGCCCATGCTGTTAGCAGGGTAAACAGAGCTCAATTAAATGGGAGCTCAAACTGTGTATGGCTACAAGGCATGGCCTGTGGCTCAAGGTGGACTCCTCATACCAAGCGTCCTGTGGAGTGCTGTGTCATTGGGACAAATGACGATGTCATCGGTACAATCACCTTATACCCTAGGGGGATGATTGACAACGTTGTAGTGCTTTGCTTATAGGGTTTTTGTGTTCCTGCCTGTAGCATGGTTTTGTTGGCTGGTTGGTTTTGTTGCTGCTGGTGGTGTAGTTGTTAGTTGGTCTTATGGGGCTTTGGTTTTTATCATAGTATGACCGCCAAAGTAAGCCTGAATCGCGTATATCCCACAAACAAGCAGGTGGACTCTGGGTTCCGACAAAAGCCATCCAAACGAGTACCTGCAAGAAACCCACCAGCTTGTGTGATGCAATGGTGACAATAACAAAATTCAAATATGATGAAGGTCCAAGTATCAGAGCTAAAATTATGAGCACCCAATTTGTAGAAGGCTCTAGAGGACAGTGGGAGCCCGGAGCCCATCTGCAGAGTAACTAGTTTGATTAGGCTGCTGGCAGACTCTCACTAGCCACAGGCAAGGGTCTGAGCAGCCTTGCTGTCAGGAAGGGATCACTGTAGTCTTGATGATGCTGGATCAAACTTGATACTCTTAATTGACCTTCCTCTTGACCCAACCTGAATTTGCTCTAGAAGCAAATATTTCTTGCTTGTTCCACAACAAAAATTTCTTCTCTGACTTTTTTTAATACTGATGGTGATCTTTTCTTATTATTTGTATTTTTAACTTTACATTATTATTCTATCCTTACCAGCTTATTTCATTTTTGCTTTTTATTGTTTGTTGGGTCTCCCAGTTTGTGAAGGGCAGAGATAATAACTGATGTAAGGGTGTATAGGTGATGTAGGGGTAAGGGGTGGGAGATAGGGAGGGTGAAGGGATTTCTTGAGTAAACAATGTGGGAAGGGGAAGGGAGCACTAGAACTGATTGTGATAACACAACTCATTTTAAAGGCGACCTAATCTGGGGGGATGGGGGGAAATGTTCTAAATTTGATTGTGCTAAGAATTATACAATTCTTGATATAAATGAACTTCTGAATCACACATGTGGATTATATATATGCCAATAAAACTGTAAAGAAAAAAAAGGACAGGGAAATTTGAAAACATTCCACTGGCAACAAAAGCAAGATCAAAGCTAGAAAACAGGCTTTAGACATAAATTATAAGAACCTAGAATTGTCTAGAGCAGTGATTCTCAACCTTCCTAATGCCTCGACCCTTTAATACAGTTCCTCATGTTGTGGTGACCCCCCTTAACCAAAAAATTTTTTTCATTTCTACTTCATAACTCTAATTTTGCTACTGTTACAAATCCGGCGATCCCTGTGAAAGGGTCGTTTGACCCCCAAAGGGGTCTAGACCCACAGGTCGAGTCATCTGATCAATTTCAGTCAAATAAATGATTATCATCTAAAAATTGCGGTTATTTTATATCCAACAAGAACAAAAGAAAATAGATGTAAATAATGTATTACAGTAAAAAATATTTCAATGAATAATAGTGGGAAGATGGCTATCTTCCTTTCCTGAACAATTTATCCTAAGACCATTAGATGTTGAGCTGGGAGATCCCAGGGAGGGGTGGGAGAGTGAGTATAGCTTGGAGCAGGGTATTAGAACTCAGGTGGAATTAAGATTATCCAAAGGAGGCAGCCCAGGTGGAGTGCTGGAAGCTACGGGGTACAAGGAGCTGGTATCAGAAATGGGAGACTACATACATGAGGGAAGCGACCACTCAAAGCAGAACAGTAAAATCAGGGGTTAGATTTCACAGTGCTGAACAAGTATGGGAAACTAACATGGAGGGAAATATGATGAGGACTAGATTCCCTAACTTAGAGGGAATCTGGAAAGCTAGAATTCCACAGTAGGAAAGCCTCCACTTTGGTAAGTCAGAGGTAAAGTCCAAGTACATTATCCGGCTTTCAATACTGTTCCCACAGATTCTCCCCTAACAGATGGGCTGCCCCCTTAAAATGAGTACCTGGTTGATTTATCTCCCTATAAAAGTAGACATCCTTTTGGGATCGCTTCCCATCATATCACCCAATATGAGAGGTATCACCCTCCCAAACCTTCCCCCAATGCAGGTGTTAGGTTTCCTCACCTATGAGCTCAGGGACCTTAATGTAGACACCACCCACCTTGTGAAGCATTAACTACTGAATATGCATGTCTGATGGCTACCTTTAAATGTCCCAAAATAGTAAAGGGGCTCTCTTCTAAACTATTAATGTTTCTGACTCCTTTATTCCCTCTCTTTATCTTTCCTATCCCTGATGACTTTATATATTATCAATAATCTTTATATACTATGGCCGTATAATTGTGTCTACTGGCCCTTCGGTTGTTGGAGATTGGCTTTCTCTGACAAACATGGGAGAGACAAGCACAGAAAAGGTGGGGGGCGGGGGGTTCAAATCAATCCTATGGCGTAGAATTAGAATTGGGCTGTATAGCTTCATACAGAGAGAAACACAGAAGTGAATTTCAATGTACCTGTGAGTACACTTGTACACCTGTATGTGTACAAATGTATGTAGCTCTGCCCTCTGAGGCCTGAGAAGAGCGGTGCCCCAGGAGCTCTGAGCTTATTCACACCCAGATCTTGACACTTCTAGATAACCTCCGTTCAAAGGAACCAAAGCTCCTTGAAGAATGCCATTTGCAGAGGCTAGGCCACGGATTACACAAGAGAAGCCGCAGGACATCTTACACCAGAAAGGCAGTGGCCAATGAAGGACAGGGACCCGGCAGCAAGTCCACTTGAAGGGTCCCGACTGACCAAATCAGGGACAGCTGGAGCTCTGAAATGATGCGCATAGTAATGGCGTATAAGCCACAGAATAAAACTGGAAATAAGAAGAAAAAAAATAAAGAAGGAAAGGAAATCAGGCCATGCTGCACTTCTCCTAAAATTTCTTGCCAAGTCTTGAGTCTTAAAAGTTTAAAGTAGAGTAGGTAGAATACTACCCTGGAGGAACACCAATTCTAGGAGGCAGGACTTGCTAGAAATAAAGAAGGGTACGGGACTTCACAACACAGATAAATTACAATAAAGTCAAGAAAAGGATATGGAGAACGTTTCCACTCTGCTAAAGAAGGCTTCTCTGCTTGTAGATTCCAGCGAAGACTGTTCTGCTTGGGGTGATCCATTAACGGACTGGTCCGTGACCAATGTGTCCTTCCTAAAGTAAAGTTGCACAACTGTTAGTAGTCCTTACGAAAAGAGATCTAATATGAAATATAGTCCATCTAATTCTTTATTTTTATCGACTGCAACTCCACAAGAGAACCCGTTCCCCTCTTGCAGGAACCCTTGTATAGTTCAGCTCCACTCTGCCTAGACATTTTATATCCAACCTCTCTTCACACCAACACTGAAATTGAAGCATCTGAAAAACACTTCTAGTTTGGCCATTCCTCAAAGAATACTTTCAATGGTTTTACACTAGTGGCTACTTCAAATCCAAATTCTTCATTCTGGCATTCAAAACGCTTCACATTCTGGTTGTACTTAATCTTCCCAGCAGGTCCTGTCCTCCTGCACTGTCCCTCTCATGCGATCTTGCCTAATGGCTCCGTGGCAGTCACTGTTCCCCGACAGGCTTTCAATGATGTTAGTAAAGGCAAATATGATGCAAGACGTTATGCATTATACAATGATACTATCTTCCATAGTCAACTCATTAAAGAGGAGGAAAAAAAGTTAATTTCCTTATTTCTACCTGAATCAGCTTGATACCTCCCCCCATCCGTCCTAAAGACCAACCAACCAACCAAAACCCAACCCTCAGAGTTAAGTATCTTTAGATTTCATGGGGGAAAAATTCTACAAGGAAAAAAAAAATCAGCTAAACAATTTTCTTATTTTCAGTGAAAAGCATTTCTGAGCCACTTCAGGAGGGAGGCGAATCACTTCAATTTTTTTTTTTTAAATGACGAACACCCAATTTGTAGAAGGCCGGGAATACAGTGGGAGCCCAAAACCCATCTGGTAGAGTACCTACAGTATTTAGATTAAGCTGCTGGCAGACCCTCACAACCCCAGGCAAGGGTCTAGAACAGCTTTACTATCAGACAGATGTCACTGTAATCTTTATTATACCGGATTGAACTTGATATTTGTTCAACTGACCTCCCTATTAACCCAACCTGAATTTGTTTTAGGTGTATCTCTTGCTTGTTCCATGACAAAAAATTTTACCCGTTTTTTAAATATTGAGGGTGGTCTTTCTTACTCATGATCTTTATTTTTATGTTATTTGATCCTTATAACTTTATTTCAATTTTGGTTTTTGTTTCTATTGGGTTTCCCAGTTTGTGAAGCAAGGGAGTGGACGCACTGAGGTAACAACTGCTGCAAGGGCTTATAGGGATGGAGAGTGGGTGATAGGGTGAGGGGACTTTGGGAGTAAACAATGAATGTGGGAGGAGGGAGGGAGCATTAGAACTGATTGTGGTTACACAATTCATTTTAAAGGTGATTTAACCATGAGGCGGGTGGGGAGATGTTCTGAAATGGATTGTGGTGATAATTGTACAGTTCTTCTTGATATGATTAAACTATTGAATTATATGATATGTGGATTAGGTACCAGTAAAACGGTGGGGGGAAAAACACAAAAACAAATTATACTGAGTATTATAACACCAAGCAAATTAAAAACAAACAAAAAAACCTCTTAAGCACTCAGACAGAGCCTTAAGGCAGAGTGGTTCTTGAGAGAAAAAAATCATAGGATCTGTAAATTTAAATGTGATCTTGTCATTTCAAGGAACCCTCGTGGCTTAGCTAATGCAAAGTCAGCAGTTCAAAACTACCAGCTGCTCTGCGGGCATAAGAGGAGGCTCTCATCTATGAGTCAGAATCGGCTGGACGGCCCTGAGGTTTATTTTTGTTTTTTTAAATGGCTTTCCACTATCTAACTGAAACGCAGTATTTCCTTCAATTATGAAGTGAAAGACGATAAGTATTAGTACGTGTAAATTTGTTGTCAATAGATATCACTGGTCCGTTCCCACTCTGGTTTTTGCAAGTTATGTCGTTTATCTTTGCAACGATTGGAAATAGACGTTATTTTATCCTGTCTTTGAAATAGGAGTATTTCTTTTAAAAAGCATGTTGTTGTGTTTCCTGTCTTCTTTTACTACCTTCCTAATCCCATCCCAACGTCAATGGCTTCCTTTATAATCTTAATTACTTTATGTCTAAAAAAAGGGGGTAGGGGATGAGAAGGGAATGATAATCATCGGATAGCCAAAGGGGTTCATGATACACTCGAAAGGAGAGTCAAGAACTCCAAGTAAGGCAAATTGGGGTGCACTTTCAGTTAGCGGTTCTCTACCCTCCCCCCCACCCCGCCAATAACCGCCAGGGCAAAGGATTCCACTCGTGCTGAGGAAAGAGCTCGGGGCCGCGCCGGGGAAACCCAAAGCCGACTAAGCACACTAACTCAGCCCATCTGACCCGGGGCGACGCCACCCCCAGTGCCCACGGCGGGACCAAGGCGACTCGGGGGCCTGCGTTCTCCAACCCCCTCCCCTCCGATCAGCCGACCCCAGACCCCGGGATGACTCGCGAACTCACGTGTCCACGCCGCCCTCTTCGGGGGCGATCCCTTCATCTATCAGCTGCCGGACTTTCTGGGGGGTCCCTTCGGGGGAGCGGACAACTGCACCCCAGTTCTTCTCAACCGCCGCGACAAACGCGGGCCCCTCCGTGGGCGCCGCCATGTTGGTCCGTTGCCGGCTGGCTCCCCAGCGGCTCGAACGCTGCGCAGCTTCCGTTCTGGGCGGCTGGGATCCGCCTCCGGCGCGTCCGCGAGCCGACGGTCGTCGCGCAGACGCACCACATCCGGGCTTCCTCATCCGGGAGGCGTGGCTTCAGGGCTCGGGCTCGCGTAACTGCTGCCCCCTGGCGTCGGCTGCGGGTTCCGGGTTGGGCTGCCAACCACAAGGCAGTCGGTTCGAAACCACCAGCCGCTCCGGTACTGAAAACAAACAAAAACGAGGCCTTCTTACGGAGTTACAGCCTCGGAAACCCACCCACAGGGGCAGTTCCCCGCTTGTTTATGAGTCGGGACTGGCTCGATGGCTGTGAGCTTTTTCATGTTTTAGTTTATGAGCGAACGTTTTGGGGCAGCGCGTTTGGGTGAACAGCAGCTTTGTAGGGCTGTTGTTTTGGGGTGCCATCGAGCTAGTTCCTATGCATCACGACCATCTTTGAATGAAACACTGCCTGGTCCTGGCCCATCCTCACAGCGGTTCGAGCCCATTGCTGCAGCCACTGTGTCCATCCGTCTCCCCCTTGAGAGCCGTCCTCCTTTCTCACCGCCTCTCCTCCACTGTGCCAAGCATGGCGTCCCTTTCCAGGGACTGACATGGGACAGAGAGTCTAGCTACCCTTGCCTGTAAGGGTCATTCTGGCTTTACAGGTGAGGAATTGTCAAGCACTTCAGAGCAAATAATTGATTGTGTCTCCAAATATCGAGTGTGTCCTATGCATGTGGAAGCCACTGCCCTGGGTGCTGGCAATGGCTCAGGGAACAAACAAGATCCACTCTAGCAAGCAGGTACATTTTCCTTCAGTTTGACGACTATGACTGGTTGAGCTAAGAAGCCACTGGTATAAGAGGAGAGCTGAACTGGATGAGGAGTAGGGGAGTGGGAGGTGGAGATCTGCACGGGCTCTTCCACAGCCCGAGGCTGGAAGGAGTTTGCCCCTTATCACCCTCTGAAAAAGAGCAGTGGTGGATGGATGGAACTGAGCAGGGTCTGGAAAGGAAACGAGGACCTTCCCTTCCCTACTCTCCCAGCACATTCTGTATGGGCTCCAATCTCCAACGATGTTACCATTCACTTGTAGCCCACGCCCTTCACCACTGTCCCACTGCCTCGAATGCCCCCTCCTCCTGCTCCCTCTCCCCTTCCGAGTAGTTTCCACGGAGTTGATGGGCCTCAGGGCTGTCCCCGAGTGGTGTGTCAGAGTAGAACTGCGCTCCATAGGGTTTTCAATGGCTGAGCGTTTAGAGGTGGAACACCAGGCCTTTGGAGGCACCTCTGGGTGGGCTCACACGTCCAGCTTCTGGATTAGCAGTCAAATGGGTCACTGTTTGCACCTCCTAGGGACCCCTTCCAAACTATCCCAACCCCAGGGCTATTCAGTTGATTCCAACTCAAAGCAACCCTCTATAGGGTTCGCAAGGCTGTGACTCTTCATGGGAGCAGGTGGCCTCATCTTTCTTCTGGCGGAGCAACCGGTGGGTTTGAACTACTGACCTTATAGCTGGCTGACGTAACAGTGCCACCAGAGCAATGCCAATCCTTATCATTATTCCTCTGCTGTGAATTGGGTTTTTGACTTTCTGCAAAGTTGATCAAGGGTCCTTTGACTCCAGAGAGTGTGTATTAATGACAGTGGTAATGGCTTCAGGTCACAACCCCAATTTAAGCTATGCAAGAAGGGTTAAGTAGCTAATGTTAAGGAATTGTTGCCCTTACATCTATTGGGCTCAACTTGGTGCTATTAAAACTTCCCATTTAAAAAAACAAAACAAAACAAAAACCTTCCCATTTTATTATTATTTTATCACTTTTCCCTACTGATTGACTAAAAACCATTGCTTACAAATCTACTTTTTTTTAAACAAATCTATTTTTTTGTGGAGTAAATGTCTTACACATTTGTATCACACCTTATTGGTGGCATCTTTTCATCACAATTCTTTGTTGTTGTTAGGTGCTATCTAATTGCTTCCAACTCATAGTCATCCTATAGGACAGAGTAAGGGCACCCCCGTAGGATGGCCAAGGTGCCAATCTGTAGGGACTATTGGTGGCACCAGGTGTGAAGCATCAGGCTTCTAACTGGAAGGTAGGCAGGTCTAACCCACCAGCTCACTCTGTGGGAGACAGACGAGGCAGGTAGATTCCATAAACATTTACAGCCTTGGAAACCCTAAGTCCTATGAGGAGCTCAGCTAAGGTGTTGGGGGTTACTTAGCAGTTAGAAACCGCCAGCCGATCCTCCAGAGAACGATGAGGCTGTCTGTTCCTGTAAATCATGAACGTCTAGGAAGCCCAGCAGTGGTCCTATCAGGTCACTGTGAGTCAGAATCCATTCGATGGCAGTGAGAAAGATAGGGCTGGTAGGAAATGGAATGAAGGAAATCGCAGTGGGATGACGTGGCAGTTACATCGTCTGTCAGCTTGCAAAGGGGCAGAGCCTAGCCAGTCAATCAGGTCATAGCCAGTGAGGCCTCTGGGTGGGCATAGCCTTCTCCTGAGGATTCTGGGAACTCCAGTCTTCCTCCTTGGAGGTGGGAGACACTCTCTCTGCTTCGTCTCCCTGCCAGACACTTCTGTCTCCCTGCCAGACATTTCTGTTGACAAGGCACCTAGAGCTATGTTGATGAAGCCAGAGCCCTGGAGCTGGAGGACCCACATGGAGACCCACACCAATGCTAAGATGCTTCCACCACCACTGGATCCACAAGACTTGCCACCCACTGGCCTGTGAACTTCCTGCATTCGGCGTCATTGCATGTGTTGCATGAGTCTGAAGAGGAATTTACGGACTGGTATCAGACATATGGGCTAATATTGGACTTATGGGCTTGATCTGGACTGGGCTGGGATATTTTCTTAATATACAATTACTCTTTGATATACCCTTTCTTGTACCTGTATGAGTGTCTGTGAATTTGTTTCTCTAGTCAACCCGGACTCCCAGACATGAAGATGTCGATGAATCTTTGTAGAACTAGACCGCCAGGTTTTTTCTTGTGGAGTGGCTGGTTGGTTCAAACTGGGCCATGTCCCTTAGAGCCCTTGTGCCAGCAGCGCTCCTTTGCTCCAGAGAGAGTGTGTGGTTATAATTGTATTGGCTTCTGGCAACAAATCCAATTTAACCTAAGCAAGAAGAGTAATTTGGTGGCCAGGGTTTCTTAAAATTGAGTTATGTCCATTTCACCTTTTAATTCTGTTCGCTTGCCCTTCAAGGGGAAAATAAGCCCCCTCTCCTCCCTGTTGACATGCCGTTACAATCCACACGTTCCTTAAAGGCATAACTTACTTCGCGACTCCTTATGCGTATGGTGCTTATAAAAAAACAAAATCAGAATAAAATGAAAACATCCCCCCACTCTAAATTCAAAACGATTCACCGTGGAGACCGCCATTGACTGTGATGAGTGATGTTGCTTTGTTGAAAGGCAATCAGCCGCGTTGGCTGGGCCCAGGCTCTCGGTTGCATCTGTGCCTATGATTTAGTCTCAGTAATATTACTGCCTGCAGAGAAGGCTTGTTCACGCCACACCCAGAAGACAAGACAGCGTCGATCATGTTGAGGCGTTCTTGACGAGGTCAGGGTGATGGGACTTAATATGTCATGAAGACTTCACCAGGCAGCATTCCGCGAAGGTCAATTTAATGAGACGTCACTTGACAGCTTCATAAACCTGTCTCATTCACTTGGGAGTCAGGTGCGTACACTGTGCATCTGCCCAAGTGAGTCTCTAAACCAATTAGTGCTGGAATCGGGAACAGGAAGTCATGGCTGCACTTGGTGGTGGTGTTTTGTTTCCCGTCGCGGATGTTGAAATAAACAGTTTTAGTTCTAGTCTCAAGCTTTCCATCCGATTGGCAAAGGAAATCAGATGATGTGCAATTGGCTCATTCACACCGCTTCAAAAATGATTGACCGTTTTCTTTTCAAACATCTGCTTTTCTTTGGGCTCAGAACACTAGAAATCCTGGGGAATTGACTTTTGGACGGTCTGCCGTGTCGTGCTGACGCCTCATTGAGGCATTAGGAAGCCTTTGCTTGCTGTCGCCAGCCTGCAGCAATGAAGGAACATAGTAAGTAGCATTGCAATTCAGTAGCACTGCAGTATGTCATTTTCAGAACAACAACACAAACTACAGCCATTCAATCATATTAACATGAAAACATATGAATGAACCAGTCAGGGTGCAGTATAGCGCCCATGAAACACACAACTTTCCTCTAGCTCTTTGGTGCTTCCTTCCCCCCACTATCATGACCTCAATTCTACCTTACAAATCAGATTAGACCAGAGCATGCACACTGCTCCAGATAAGAGCCTGCAGCACAGGGAATCCAGGATAGATAAACCCCTCAGGGCCAACAAGGAGAGTAGAGATACCAGGAGGATTAGGGGAGGGTGGTGAAAGAGGCAATTGATCACAAGGATCAATCTAGATCCCCCCTCCCAGGGGTATGAATAATGGAAAAGTGGGTGAGGGGTGATGGAAGATGATGTAAGATATGGAAAAAATAATCTATAACTTATCAAGGGTTCGTGAGGGTGGGGGGGGGATGAAATGGGGAGCGGATATCGGGCTCAAGTGGGAAGAGGATGCTTTGAAAACGATGATGGTGGCATTTGTGCACATGTGCTTGACACATTGGAGGAGTATATGGATTGTGATAAGAGATGTAAGAGCCCCCAAGAAAAGTATATACAAAAAAGTTTCATCCTTCTTCAGCGTTGGGTTACAAAGCACCATTATCAAGTTCAGGGAGCCCCATGGTGAGTTGGGTTGCCCTCTGGGCTGCTAGCCAGTGGTCTGAAACCTTCAACCGCTCTGTGGGAGAAAGATGAAGCTGACAGCTCCCATACAGATTGACCTTCTCCAAAACCCATAAGGACAGTTAGTGCTACTCCGCCCTATGGGGTCCTCATGAGTCAGAATCGACTCAGTGGACGTCA